CTCTGTTGTTTGGATGTCCCCAGACACTGCCTGCTCCAAATACCCGCTGTCCTTCCACCAATTTACCATCATTTGGGATGCCTTCCTCTCAGACATCTTTTATCAAGTACTCCTCTCTCTGGCCATGCACACTTCTATTCCTGTAGTTCACGTCCTCCTGCAAACATCTTCCACCTCCAGCCCCTTCACCTCTTTGTCTTCTCCCGTACATCGTCCAGCTGTCTCCTGTTCCTTCAGGTACCCAGCCAATGCCTTCCACTCCTGTGGTCCAGTGTCTTACACACATCCTCTATCAACAGTCTAATACTAAGTTGATCTATGCCCCAAATATTGGCTTGTGTGCTCTGTATCTGTTATTTACTTATCTCCACCCTCAGGGATATGCACCATCTTCATTGTAGAGAAGAGAAACCTGAGAAACAAAGCACCTGCCTAGAATTACATCAAAGATTGGAATCGGGGAGACTGGCCAGAGCCCTGACTTGGTCCCTAGGGCTCCCATTTCTCTGCCTCAGTGAAAAGTACCAACACGTCTCTTCTGGTGAATGTGAGTGGGGTGCAGGAGCCCTGCTACCCCTGTTTCCCCAGCAGTGGCCATGATCAATGTATCTAACGAACCAACAATCAGGGAGAAAGATACAAAATATGGAGAATTAAGCATGGAGAGAGTAAACCCTAGTGGTACTCTGTCTTTGGTTCTAGTTTCTTGGACACTTACTACATGCTTATACCTCTTGCATTTTTCTGAGTCTTTGGATAGCTGATGCTTTTTCTTTCTAACGTCTAAACCTTACATCCGATGACTGCATCCCTCATTCTCAGCCAAATAACGTACTTTTCTACAGAGAGGAAACAGAAGTTCTGAGACTGGAACTTCTTAGTGTGGGACTGACTCTTTCATCTGTGAGAGGGGCAGTCCTTTCTTCCTTATCTCCTCCTGCAAAGATTCCTATTGTCTACCTGCATTCTGGATCCCACTGGCTACTGACTTCTCGGGATAGTCATCAGAACTATTATCTATTCTCCTTCCAGAATTTTGTCCTCTCCCTCCGATGCTTCTTTTCCACCCACACTTAAATATACTCATTTTCGGACTTTCCTGGTGGTGCAGTGGTTAAGAATCTGCCTGCCAATGCAGGCGACACGGGTTTAAGCCCTGGTCCGAGAAGATTCCACATGCTGCGGAGCAACTTAGCCCGTGCGCCACAGCTACTGAGCCTGCGCTCTAGAGCCCATGAGCCACAACTACTGAGCCTGCGCTCTAGAGCCCGGGAGCCACAACTACTGAGCCCACGTGCCGCAACTACTGAAGCTTGCACGAGTGAAGCCTGTGCTCCACAAGAGAAGCCACTGCAATGAGAAGCCCGTGCGCCACAACGAAGAGTAGCCCCTGTTTGCTGCAACTAGAGAAAGCCCGCACGCAGCAACAAAGACCCAACACAGCCAAAAAATAAATAAATAAATGACTTTTAAAATAAATAAATATACTCATTTTGAAAATAAGCAAAACAAAACCTCTCCTTCAACTTCCATCTGCTTCCCAAGCTTGTCTTCTTTACACAGCCAGGGGTCCCTACATTTGCATGCTTTGCTTTCTCATCTCTCATTAAACTTCACCTTTAAATGGAAAGAAATCACCCTAAGCAAGAGAGAAAAAAGCTAAATCACATTTTAAAAAAATTTAGTCAAAAAAAAAATTAGTAAACCTTTTGTTATAGCATACTTTCAGATTTACAGGAAAGTTGCAAGAATGTTGGAGAGTTCCCCTATTTGAACCTCTTACATTCATCTGGTAATTTGTTACAACTAATGAACTGATACTGACACACTATTGTTAACTGATGTTTATACTTGACTTGGATTTCCTTAGCTTTCCCCTAAGGTCCATTTATTGCACCAGGATCCAAACCAGGACCTCACATAAACCTTTAGTGGCCACAGCTTCTTGGTCTCATTCAGGCTTTGACAGTTTCAGACCTTCCCTGTTTTTGATGACCTTGACAGATTTGTAGAATGTCTTTCAATTCTTTTTCCAGTGGTTTTCTCCTGATTAGGTTGGGGTTACAGGCATCTGGAAGACCACAGAGGTAAAGTGCCCTTCTCATTACATCACATCAAGGTCACATGCTATCAACATGACATATCCCAGTTGACATTCACCTTGATCCCTGGGCTGATCAAGTGTTTCAGGTTTCTCCACTGTAAGCTTACTCATCTTCTCTTACTACTGAGGAACAATTTTTAACAATAAAAGTTTCAAACACTTAACTTTAGAGTGTCTAAATCACTAGTGAATGTGGTTACACCTACATGTCTGTGTGAGTTGTCCTTTGTGGAAGTGCACCTTGATTTTGTACCGGGATGGAGAGGCACAGAGACAGCGAGAGACACAGAGAAGCCCAAGCACTCCAAAGAACAGGGCCTTCAAGTGACCAAGAGAATACAAGCATCTGGGGTTGAACAAACATCCTAGGCTAAATGTGGAATCATGAACTTAAGTGGACCGACAGGGTTATGCGCTCATTATTTGGGAAGTAAAGTTACTGTAACACAAGCAGACTCTAAATACAGAAGTTCAAATAGACTACACGTTTGCTTCTCTCTCATGCAACAGCCCAGACGTGGCTGGAGGGCTAGCTTTGCCGTCCTTAACCCCTGACTCAGCACCTGTGAGTTGAGGTCAACTGCTCCATTTGTCAACACTGTTAAGTCGACAGGAAGCAAAGAAGAAGGGAAGGTATCTGTCCTTCTTTCTCAAGAATTGGAGGCAGAAATTGTTCATGTCGTTACCATTATATTCCACTGGCCTGAACTTAGTCATGTGACTGCATACCAAGCTACAAACCAGTGGGGCAATGCAGGGTCTCACTGGATGCCCGTCTGCTTGCTAAAACTTGGTTAGGCTTATAGGAATAAAGTATCTAGAAGAGAATGCATACTGGGAGAATAAATACTGGTCAAAACGAGATCTGTAACTGAACACCTGGTGGCAGGTTGTTTGTTTTTTCTTCCAATAGACAACACCTGGACCAAAGGTGCAAATCGAATCAGCATCTCGCTGAGTTTGCGAATCTACATCATTCTCCAAGTCCCACCCACACATCTCAAACAAGCGAGTCAAGTGGGGCTGTGATAGAAAACAATACACCTGACACTCTCCAGTTCTGACGGCGGCCCTAGTCTCTGCTACTCTCCTCAGGAGCGCAATATGAACCTTGTTTCAGTCTTTCAGTAGGGAAGGCAATTCTGTGAGCTTCTATTCCTCCTGGCACGCACATCTTCACTCCATGGATTATGGAGACCCAGGCGCCTCCTGTTTCTGTTCCGCCTGTGCACTCGGGTCTTGGGGAAATGAGCCCACTGCTTCTCCCCGCCCCCCAAAGATTCTATTTTTACCTGACTCTCAGAATCCCACTCTGACTGGGGGAATCATCTGTACTCGGGACCCCGCAGTTGGAATCAGCTCACAGGCAGTGCTGAGTACAACCTAAGACGCAATACGTTCTCCTTTTGCCGCTTTCAGGCACCCAGGGAAAGGGCCACCAGCCCCTGGAGGAAGGCCAGAGGAGGATTTGTAGTTCATCCCCGAGCATCGTCTCAGGTACCTGGTCTAGGCGGTGTGGCTCGCCCTTCACACCAAAGTCTTGAGGTTGACTGAGAGATGAAGACTGCTTCTGCACTTAACCTGGCTTCTGGTTACTAGTCCTAAGGTGCGTCACGTGCACAGGTCAGGTAGGACAGTAGCAAAATTCTTAAACTCTCCGTCACAGAGAAAATGAAAAGAGGATGAGGTGGAGGGTAAGTAATGAGGGGACCTGATATGAGGCCTGACAACAACTAGGAACGTGGAAAATTCACACATCTTGTCCTTACACCCTGCTTGGGTATAAGGTTGGGACCTTCTGACCTAACAGTGTCAGATCTCTGTAACATGCTCGGCAAAAGCTACCCTGTGCTATCACGCTGAAGTGACTGAACTCAGGAATCCACCGTAGCCAGCAGTGATAAGACACAGTTATGCCGAGCCTGCTGCGTTAAATATGAATATATAATACCTCTCCACAAGCAGGAAAACACACTAGCAATAATGCCGCATCCTCTGAGCTTTCTGGACTGGTTTTTATAGGTATTATAGTTCAACTACATACACTCAACCAGTACTTTATCACTTACCCATCTAAATGACAAATAGGGGAAAACATATAGGAAAACATATCCACAATTTGCTGAGTTACAGACAAAATGCAGTTAATGATAACCAATATCCAAACTTCACTTCTTAATTTCAAAACTAAAATTACAACTGAAATAAATTTTGTAGTATAAAAGAGGCTGACATTCCGAAGGAGTCTGAAATGAACGTATGTATCTTGATAATTTGCTGAATTTACTGAAACAATGTTTTGGATGTCTTGAAAAGGTTTCACCTTATTTTTAGCCTAAGTAGTAATCAACAACTTGATTTACTCGTTTATTGGTGAAAAGAAATGGGGAGGGCTTTGTTCTGTTACATAGGAAACATTATTTTTAGTAAACAAACATCAAAATACGTTTCCTCTGTGAACGTAGGGCAAAATCTTCAAACACGATCTGTGCCTTTCCCTATGTAAGTGACACACTGACAGATTCAATTTAGTTTTAAGATCCGCTCTGGCACTGACAGAACGTTAAGCATTCCATTGCTATAGATGTGCACCGTTTTCATTTTTCAATTTTGTTCTTCCTAATAATGAAGTTCCAACTAAACAGCTAGCCAAGTAAATGCCATGTGAGTGTTCAAGGCTGATGGATTACACTCGGTAATTCTGGTTAATGAGGCACTAAAATGATGAGCAGAGAGACCAAGGAACTGGTGATAGCTCGGCAGTGCTGATGACTTCTCCAGGGATAGATACCAGGAGAAGCACTCAGGAATAAGTAGTCTACACACTCTGTAAACAACAAGGGCATTAACTCATCAGGTCAACAGGCAGATTTCAAGAGTGGAGAGGAAAACTTACCTTAGGGCATCCCTGAAGCTCCTGCATTCGCCTGTGCCTCTCATCACATGGAAATCAAAGCCTTCTCTTTCTTCAGGTGCCTAGAGTTGGTTTTCACTCTCCTGAAACCAGAGGTTTCCTGATCAGTACAGCTAAACTCACCAAGCTGACGTATCCCCTTTGCTGTGTATTGGTTTGATATGATTCCCAGCGCACTTGCTCATGACAACAACAAAGTTGTGATTGTAAGTAAAGTTGTTCTGATGTACAAGAGAAATTGGTGTCAGGACGTCATCATGCACGCCTGTGGTTAACAACACAAACGTAGGAAGCAGCAGCAGCTAGGGCAGAGGCCTTTCAGACTATACACACCCAGAGTCCGTGAGGACTGTCCCAGGGTGTTTGGTCTGGGCAAGGCGACTGCTGACCTGAATGGCTCTCTGAAGACCCGGGGGCATCAGCTCCAGCCTGGGCAAGGCGACTCTTTGCCGGCAGTGCTGGAAACCATGCAGCAGCCCCAGGAAGGAGGTAATCTCACCCACAACACCTGCACCTTCACTCCCTGGCAAGGCGCTCCAGCAACAAGGATTTTCACTTTGGACCCATCGTCAGCACCGACACATGGCTCTCAGTTGGCCAAGCAACTCTTCAGAGAAGCAACTCAGAGAAAGGTACACCTCAACTAAACTTGGACTCTATTCCTTTCATCGTCCCCTTGCCTGGAACAATAGCATGATTAATCTAGTACTGGTTTGGAGTATGTTACTTCTTTAGTGGCTTATTAAGAGACATTATCCTGTACTCTATTGGCTTGTGAAATTACGGGTAATTTCCGCAGTGAACCTGTGTTAAATAAAGTACTGGCAAAGACAATCTCAGTCTCTGAGCATAATTTGCTGCCCGACAAAACACCCTTCTAAAGAGCATGGCTTCCTTTTATGATTAAATGTTTGCTATCCATAAAAACTGACCTGGGGGAGACCTAAGAAATCTTTTTCTTCCTAGACTGGGGCAAGGAGAACAGAAATGATGGGAAGGTTTTGTATGAATTTCGCAATGGTTAAGACCAGGAAACTGACAACATTGATATCTGCTGATACAGAACTCAGTCATGGTTTTAATGGTAACTCAAGGTTTTTACCTCTTTCAGAAATAAACATGAAAGTATCAAGTCAACACATATAATTCTCCTGTTTAAACCTTAATTAGGAAAAATGCCCTAGGATATTATTTTAGAAACATGAAGAACCATAGGCTTCTTTCAGCTTCTTAGCTTGCCTTACTTTGACATCAAATTGCATGTAATTGTCCCTGCATGTGTCTGCATGGACTCATATAAAGACAAGTGAATTTAGTAATTGCAAGATATTACCTTTTTAATTGAATTTATCAGTAAGTTTGAATCTATAGCCCCTGGATAGCACTGGGATGAGAAAAAATTCACTGATTTTATTTCCTCGGGCAGCAAGGGGTCAATGGTGTCTGGCCTATTTCACCATTACATTACATTAGAGTCTGCACTTTTAATGGTTCCATTTTTAACAGGGCTGTAAACCGAAATGCAAAGCTTTTCTCTGTAAAGGTTTGCAAAGTTATATATATATTGATCAAACTACATTCACTCACACTTTCTATTTAGAATTTGGCTCAATGGAATAATTTTCCTGCACCTGCTTTGATGTAACACGGCTGAGAAATCCTGCATCAGAAGACGGGGTAGAATCTCATGGAGAGGAAATGCCCAGAGAGGCTGCCCACCCTTGCTGGTATCTTTCCTATCGGGGTCCTCCATCCCGGGAGAGGAAGGAGGAGTCGGCAGAGATGACCGAAGGGTATCTGCGCTGGGCCATCCCTTGAGAGGCCGGCACAGAGCCCTATCCAACTCCTGCCATACTCTCCTGAGCGTTCTAACGCCCCTGACCAGGTAGAGTCTGCTCCCTGGGGCAGCACATGTTCTTTCTGCACCCCTGGTTCCCAGCACAGACCTACGCACGAGGCAGACACTTCATGAACATTTCCCGAAGCAACGGAGAGTGTTTCCATTCCTAACACCAATGACTAGGACAAATACTTGGACCTTTTCTTTTTTCTTTCTTCAGTTAAACACAGAGTGAGTACTATCTACAGGCATTTTCTTTTACTGCCATTCCCACTTTTCTCTTGGTTGAAAATGATAGCACCACTTAACCCCTTCGTCCTTTATTTATAAATTCCTTATGGAACACCGATAGATTAGTAAAACGAGGGCCCCTTTGAATTGCACTGCCCTCTACTCCTAATTTCCTATTGCCTATTTTTATTTGAATAAGAGCTCAAATACATTCCAAAGTTAGAGCATCACCATGGTAAATATTTTACTTGCATGATTTATGAAGGCCCACAGGTTAGTGACAATTACTATCCCCGTTTGACATTTGTCATCCAGTGCAGAGACCTTCAGATACAGAGCCCCGAGGCGGAGGCCTGCAGTTCCCACCCGGGCAGTCGGCCTGCGGTCCCCCTCCCCTTCCCCAGCACTCTATTATGTCTCCCCTCCAAGCTCCTGCATGAAAGGCTGCAGTGCGTTGTATGAGGTGGTTATTTCATCCCCGTCTCACAGTCAGGACTGAAATCCCGCGTGGTTAAGCAAGCTGGCTCAGACCACCCCGCCCCCCAGCAGGAAATGGCAGAGTCGGGACTCAGGCTGTTTGACTTGTCGTGCTTCCAGCGCCCTCGCTGCAACAGTGCGCTTTCTGTGTGCCCAGACGTCAAGCAGCCACCAGCGCAGACACCTACAACTGTGCTTTGAAAGGCATGACACCCCTTTTCCCAGTTCCTTGTGGGGAGAGGGCACTGGCATGGACAAGACTGTCAAGCCAAATGAGGCTAGTTACTCTGTTATTGCTCTCGGATAACCAGGCCACGTTCTCCAAAGAAACCTCAAAAAAAAAACCTTAAAAAGCAGACCTTATTATGTCCTTATCTGTTGCCTCAAATGTTTTCACCTGGAGCAGGCGCAACACTGACTTGCAGAACTGAGTTGTGTCTTGTCTAAAACATAATTTCAGTCTCCTCCCCAGTCGGGTTTTCAGGAAGGACAGAAGAACATCTTTGAAAAGTACTAGGGCTAGCTATTTGCAAACAGCAGACGCATCCGAAGAAACGGGAGTGTTTTCTTTAAACGTCTGACATGCTAATACCTCAGAGACCTCTCCTAGGCAGTTGGTTTCACCATGTGATTTGCTTTGCCAGGCATATTCTATTTGGTTTCCTACTCATCAGCAGAGCACTCTAGACTTCAAAGGCCCCTCAACATCGGTTGACTTGAGTCAGAAATCTTTGGCATTCACACAGCATGAGTCATGGCACCCAAGAGTTTGCTGGAGTATTTCTCAATCCCTTTCACTCAAGGGAGAGTGAGCACAACAACTGTCCTTATGAAGCCCTTCACAACTCTTGCTGCACGTTTTTAAATGGCTTTTGCATAGATCTCATTTGGTTTTCTATTAGGAATCCCCTCCTTAATTTGAAGACATCATTTTTTTCTTAACCTATTTATAGTTGAACCAAACTTAGAACGATAACAAAACATTACACTAAGGTATATTTCATGCCCGTTTAACTGAAATAAAAGTCAAAGAAATTCTTTTGCATTTTAGAAACAATTATAATGACTGAAATCTAATGGAATTTGGGATTCAGTCTTACTGTTCTAAAATCAATAGGAAATTTTACGGATTTATATTTTGACTGATATTCAGGAATGCCAAACTTCTTACAACATTCTAAGTGATCAGGAATAAAAATGTGATTCTAGCTTGGTAGCCTATAACAGGCCAGGATTCATTAAATTTTCCATTCTGCGGGCTGTCCTGTTTAATCAGTAACTCCTGGCCCAGCCTCATCTCTTTGCCAGGCTTAATAGGTTGAAGTGGACTGAAATGGATTAGGAATAAAGTATCTTTCTGCTTGGAAAAAGCTAGATCTTTGATTGCACTTTAAACTCATATTCAAATTAATTAAAAAAAATACCAAACACGGACACCACAATCCCCTTTTTGCAACTTCCAGTCAACCATAAAACCACACAATTAAGGTATATATGTTTTTTAAATGCAAAGCAAATTTCATTTTTTAAAACAAGTTACTACCACTGAAAGGTTACGTTCCCTGCAGCACCAGGCCTGAAGCATTCTTTGTTTCATCAGATGACTAAGAAGCTAATTAGAGAATTCTACATGTTTAACCAACTTTAAGACAGAATTGGAAAATGTGGAAAAATATTCTAACAAATGTGTTTTCTTGTAGCCTACGGTACCAGTCAATATTTTTACCAGTGACGCTGTTCTTATTCTGTTTACTTTGGTTACAAGTTTACAAAAATCTATGAAATAATAAGAAAACTTTCCAACCCTTAACTCAACTTTGTAAACCTCCAGTGTGGGATTCCTGTCCCTTGGACTATAAACCACCTCCTATTTTTTCCCCCCTTTCGCCAGAAATAATTTGAGAACATATCCACTTGGTCTTTAGAATGTTCTGAAAAGAAGGAAGGCCCAGACATGTCTTCAGTTTACAGACTCAGAAAGGGCAACTGGAGACTCCAAGCACAGTACATTGACACTGTGTTAAAATATCAGACTGGGGCCTTAAACAACAGATACTTATTTCTTACAGCTCTGGAGGCTGACAAGTCCAAGGTCAAGGTGTTGGCTGATTCCATGATCTCCCTCTTCCTCTCCTTGAAGACACTAACCTCAGCACAAGGGCCCCACCCTCACAACGTCATCTAACCCTCACTACTTCCCAAAGACCCCTACCTCCATATGCCATCCACTGGGAGTTAGGGCTTCCACATACGAACTCGGGGAACACAATTCAGTCCATGGCAGCACCTTAGCCTCCCCAGTTTCCATTTAGAAAACAGGGTCTTGAGAAATGAGAGCAGGGTGCCGAGTATACAGAATTCTCAGAGGCTCTGAACAAGAAACCTCAGCAGCCATGGTCCTTCCCCTTGGAAAGAAGCACTCTGGGGACAGGGTATGTGTGTATGTGGGGGGGGGGGACAAAGCTGCCACTTTCAGGAGAGGATCCTACAGTGGAGAAGGGTTGTCCTCAAGAGCATGGAATGGGCATCCAGGCT